AATCCTGTAGGTATTATGAGGACCTCCACTTCACATATAAACTGTGACATGGAGATATTACATTACACGTCCAAGATTACGCAGCCATATAAATGACAGAATCAGGATCTGAATGTAATCACTTCCAGAGCCTACGTTCTTACCCTTTTTCCTCCACACTGTCTCTCCCTTTATATACAATTCAGCTCAAATATCACCTTCTGTGGAAACCTTCCCTTACCACCCAGTCTGAGTTCAGTGTTTCTCCTCTGTACCCCAGGACATCCCACATGTATCTTCATCATAGCATTCATCATACTGTCCTATATAACTTGGTATCTATTTCCATTATTCAACAAGTTTCTTGAGAACAGGAACTTTGAATCCATCTTATTTTTCTTTGTATCCTCCGTGCCTAGCACGTGGCAAATATTCAAATAACTTTTACGGATGAATGGACAGACGGATGTACAGACGGAGGGATGGATAACATGAGCTGGAGCATTAGCATTCATTTTCAGATAATCCAGCAGGTGGCAGAAGAAGGCAATAGCTGAAGAGAAATGGACTGCCTTACCTTTCACACTGGTCACTTTCTTCATGATGGTTTCCTGACCTTGGCACAGGGTCACGGTCACTGTGGCTCCAGGAGTACCGAAGCCCCATATCACTGCCCCAGCAGGCTCCTTCTGCAGCACCACGTTATTACTGATGTATGAAGCAAAGCGAAAACCAATACCTAAAAAATTTAGCAAACACTGAGGGGAGCATCATCTGATTCAGCACCAACTAGATTGAGTGAAACAGCAAAGAACATACGGTCTTTATGCAAGAGAATTTTAACATGCTAAGTCCTTTTGATCGTCTAAAACTAGATCTTCTTCCTCCTAATTAGGCAAGCAACATAACAAGAACACTTTCCAGCAGTATGCATCACAGAACACAATGACCACTAAGGAAAACTCCCAGAGCTCAAGGCAACCAACGAAACAGTCGTCTTTCCCTTTCAGAGCTCTTGATCTTTCTTTGCTCTTAGGCTTGGCCCTAACATTGGGCTCTCTCCCCCTAAACCACCAAAATGCTCCTTTCATGCACCCTACAGATGGTGTTTATAAGAAAAATAAACTACTTCCTTTCCCTACTTTCCATTACCACACCCACTCCTAATGGCTGGGAGTAAAGCAGCATACCTCACTCCAAACAGCCTTCCCTAATCTTTTTCTCCTTCTCTATCTCCCCCTTTCCATGCCACTGATGCCAATTTCCTTCAAATAATGCCCTTTATCACGGTTTTCTGTCAAGCCACTGTACTGCACCGAAAATTCTAAATAAGCCTTTATAAATATTCATGATAAGTCAGCTTCCTTCTCAGGTAAATTCAGATAATTCAAGACACAGAAATAAGGTCAGTGAGAGACAGAAGGTCAATGTGTCTGAACAAAGGTCTTCTGTCACAATTTTACCCATTCCACAACCTAAATTATACAAAAAGGACAAGAGAAAGCATACTAGAAACTGGATTCTATTCTAGAGAGTCACTAACAAGACTGAATAAGAACTCACTTTAACGAGATCATTCCTATTTTTAACATCCAGCCTATATAGAAGTATTTTCTTAATAACAAACATCCATCCAAATTATCTCAGCGCATTCCTCATCAAAACTTAACAAGGAAAAAAACAAGTTACATTCCAATTTGTCTAAACAGACTCCAAACTACCTAAAAGAAAATTAGTTAACAAAATTAAGATGTTTTTAAGCATTTTAAACAAACAAAAAGAAAATGATAGGCAGAAAAGAGAATCAGAATTAACAAGGCTGACATTTTCCTCCCTGGAAGCTACAAATGATGATGGCCCCTTAGGCTATACTTAACAGGGCAGCACAGCTAATGCAGTCGCCTACACAGCTCTGTGGCCTATTTATCCTGCTCTTGGAATAACAGCCCAGTCCCTAAAAACTCTCAGCTCTCTCTTATGAGCTAGTGTGATCATGAAACCTACATGACAATGAAAGATCACCCAGAAGGCCTACTAGGCTGGAGTTGCACAGTTACCATGAGCAAAATGCTCTAAGAAAAGAATACAACGCCCCAGAATTGCATAAGCAGGTTGGCAGCCTGCTGGGGGGAAGGGGGAGGCACATGTGTGGGAGGGCCTTGTCTTAGGTAGGTGCTTCATATGGAACCAAAAAAAGGAAAACCACAGACATAAATAAGAGCTAAGCAGAGAGAGGGTGGGGGTAGGGGAATGGAGTGAAGAAAACCGGTTGCAGCTTGCACATTTGCATGCAGTCAGTAGCCCATCGGCTAGGGGAAATACCTTTCCAAGTCAGTCCATTTTCACCAGCATACACTTAGTGAACATCTTTGTGGATGACTCTGCAGGGGCTAAAGAGTTTTAGAGATGGAAAGGATCTTCACAGTTGTGGTACAAACATGTTACTTACTGATCAAGAAACTGAGACCAAAGCAGATTTTTTTTAATAGCATGCATGTTCATCAGTTAATTTAACAAATATTTATTGATGCCTACTATTTTAAGCATTGGGGATATAACAATGAAAAAATAATCTAGTAACAGACAAAAATCCTTGCCCACAGGGAGCTTCCACTCTACTGGAGACTTTACCTGTGGCAGGCATGGTGCTAAACTCACCACAAACATTAATGTCCTTTGGTCTCAAATCACATAGCTTATGACAAAGTTAGAAAACAAGTCACTTGATTCCAAACTTGAAATTCCCACTTTACCGAAATTAGATACTTGTGACAAATCAAAGAAAAGTCATACTTCTTGTCCTTGTAAAGCTTAAATTTTAAGCTCATTAGAGTAGACAGTGGAACATCAAGGAATCGAGCAATGGACAAAAAACAAAAAGAGAATGAGAAAGAGAGCAAGGCTGATCATTCTTTGTGTCAAACACAAGACACATACATTTAACAGTTGATCTTGTTTGTTTGTTTGTTTGTTGTTTGTTTGAGACAGTCTTGCTCTGTTGCCCAGACTGGAGTGTAGTGGCCCAATCTCAGCTCACTGCAACTTCCACCTCCTGGGTTCAAGCGATTCTCCTGCCTCAGCCTCCTGAGTAGCTGGGATTACAGGCACCCGCCACCACACCTGGCTATTTTTTTTTTTTTTTTTTAATTTTTAGTAGAGACAAGGTTTCCCCATGTTGGCTAGGCTGGTCTTGAACTCCTGACCTCAAGTGATCCGCCCACCTCAGCCTCCCAAAGCGCTGGGAATACAGGCACGAGCCAACATTTGGATTTTTCAGGTCTTCAGTTTTTTCCTTCATTTAGCGCTGGAGTAGAAAAACAGGAAATAGTATTTTGGGGAAGAGACCATCATTAAAAGTGGAATAACACAGATAGGACAGTGGTTACCTCTGGTGAGGAACTGTGGATGCATTGGCAAGGGGCACAATGGCAGGCTGAATAGACTGACAGTGTTCTAGTTCTGAAGTTGGGTGCTGCTCTCATGGGTGTTTATTTTATTGTGTCACTGTTACATATAATTTTGTGCACCTCCAGTATTACGTGGTAAACATGGGCACAGGAAGAATGCCTTAAAGGAAAGATGTCAGGATATGCAACCAAGTAGAGTACTAATGAATGAAAAATGTAATTAATGAAGGTGATATAACAGTAAGACCCAAAGGAGGAGATGAAATACTGACACTAAAATAAATAGCTTTTAACTGAAAACCTCCCCACCTCATATGATGGATCTCAAAGGTCACTGAGTGGAGATAAGAGTCAGCAGATGGCATACAGAGTGCTAGCAGTTTGCGCTTTTGTTAAACTCTGAACAATCATTTATGGGCTGCAGTTTGTCTGAATCTAGGTACTTCTCTGGCTCTCAGGTGGAGCAGCAGACATTTTTCTGCATGCTGTTCTCCTGCCCCAACTTTCATTTCTTAACATCTCCAGGGTCCACTCTTTGAGTGTTTTGAAAAAGAAAGGAAGAAAATCAACATTATCACTTTAGTTTGCATTAGCAGATAGATTCCATCTTCTGCTTCCTCCATACTGTGACCCAGTGTCCAGCCTAGGGTATTCGAATGGCAAGATCTAACCTGCACAACAGCCAAATCGAGCCACCCTCCTCCTCTATGCCACTCATATTATCCCACCACCAATATCTGTAAGCTGCACCAGAAAGCAAAACTGAGCCTTAAATAGTCTGAGCTAGTGAGGAGGTTGTATTTCTTAGCCCTAATAACCACTTAAACTAGTAAAATTTAATTCCCCCACGGAACCCCGCCTGAAGCAAACTCTCCCCAAGGGCACCACTGAGGGGGCAGCGCTGAATGAAATGTTTTGGATGATTCAGTCACCTGTTTCCAAATATTATCTAACTAGCTTCGCCCCCTTCCCTGAGCTCCTCTGCAGTTACTCCAGGACCCCGAAAGTCTCTTTCTGGGCACATTTGGGCCTCCCCACTGAGACAAACGGCACTTTCTCCTTGCTCACACGCTGTATGTTAGGGATGGTGAGTGGGAGTGGAGAAAGCGGAGAGGCCGGGGTCCTGCAGCGGATCCCTGCAGACCAGGCCTAGGTCTGAAATAAGAGTCCCTAGCCAAGCTAGGTTCCTTGGTCGACCTTTGAGAAAGGGGCACTGGTCCGTATCCCTGAGGGGACGCGGAGTCTCGGAGCCCGTACAGGCTGAGGGGCAGGGGTCCAGCCGAGCCGGGCCGCCTCACCTGCATTTTTGTCGGCCCACAGGATTAACGGCAGCACCAGCCCGACTACAAGCCCCGGCGTGACCATACTTGCAAGGATCTGCCTGCGTCCCGGGACTGGGAAGGTGAACTCCCCGCAGGAGTGGGGCGGGAAGGGGGCGGGGGCTGGGAGGGGGCGGGGCCTGGGCGGAGGCGAGGCCGGCTCCACCCTTTTCAGGCCCTGCTGTCTTCCGAGCCTCCAGCGACCGCAGGGCGGGGCCGTGCTCGCCCCTTCCCGGCCGCGGTAGTTTTTGTTTGTGTTTTTTTTTTTTTTTTTTTTTTTTTTTTTTTTTTAAAGAAATAACGGTTACTTAGCAACGAGAAAAACAAGAGGAACCAGCGGCACCAGCTGGGAGAGAAAGGAGGTGAGGTCGCTTCTCTACTTCCTCTCCGACACCAAAACTTTGCCTTTTCCCTTTGTTTCTCATATTCTCTCAGCATCCCAAACACAGCCTAGAGGCAGCCTATTCTGCGGGAGTCTGAAATCCCAGGTCCTCAATGTCTTGCTCTCGACTACACGGGTCTACCCCCTCCGCCCTCCCTCCTCTGCCTACATTGGTTCACGGTCTCGCCAGTCCTTTTCACCGCCCTAGAATGATTCAATACCCCCATCTCCTGCTCTCTCAGAAAAAGCAAAAGAGAAGAGCCCGGCGTGGTCGCGCGCGTTTGTAATCCCAGTTGCTCCGGAGGCTGAGGCGGGAGCACCGCTGGAGCCCAAGAGTTCGAGGCCAGAGACACCGTCTCAAAGAAAAAAAAAAAAAACGATGAAACGAGAACCCTCCATAGACTGAACCTCATTAAACCGTCTAGTTCCCCCAACCTGGACCCCTACCATGGCCTCTGCCTCTATTCCTCACTGACACACACTTTCATATTAACAGTCCCTGAGGATTCTTTTCATACTCAGTAGCTCAGTCCTCTGCTTAGCAGCTACCCTTAATCTAGCCCTTGTATTCCAAGACAGGAAGAGATAGCCTGGTCAAGAAGAAACCGGAAAATATAAGAATCCCAAAACTTTAGAGGCTGGGATTTCAAGATCATGACACACCCCTATCCCATCCCATCCCTCCCTCACACCTAGGCACGAACAACCCCATTCCACAGTACAAAGGTGTTCCAAGCATTATGGGGTCATGCTTCAGAAGTGGCAGCAAAGGGAAAGATTGTGCAACTTCTTCGTTCAACAAATTGATTTCTAGAACCAGGACTAATTTCTACTCTTTAATTAAAAAAAAAAAAAAAATATATATATATATATATATATATGCTTGAAAGAGGGTATTCTCGGCAATTGATATTCAGTTTAACTTTTTAACAATCATTCTCTCTAAATTCCTGTGTGATAGTAAAAATTTACTGTTACCTTTTGAGAATACTAAAGGTAAAGAGACAAAAAGTCATATTGAAATTGTGATTTTTTGTAGTGTTTTAAAAAAACGATTTGCCCTAGTGAATAGGTCTGTTTGTATTATTCTCATTCATAACGGAGAATTCAAAACTCTTTGGAAGAAATGAATGGACTTGGATTGTGTTGGGGAAAAAAAGAATTCAAGTCCAAAAAAATGTGGGTCTCAGAAATAATTCGTTGGCATAGTTGTGATTATATAAGTAAAATCAGACAAATTTAAAGACAGTACTCTTTAATGAATCTTTAGGTTCCATAGGCAGTTCTTACCAAGAAGATGTCGATTCCATTCTCCAACACCCACTGTCGAATTCCACAAGGATTTGGGAATCTTCTTGAAGGGCTGACACGCGAGATTCTGAGAGAACAACCGGACAATATACCAGCTTTTGCAGCAGCATATTTTCAGAGCCTTCTAGAGAAAAGAGAGAGTAAGCTTTCTAAAAGTAGTCACTTTTTTAAATAGGAGACTAAGCCTTTGTTTATGGTAAAACTTGCTTAAGACCATCTCCATTCTGCAGAAAGCCTTTATGAGGCAAGGAATTTCAGATAACAGTTCTTGCTCTTTGAAACAGTATGTACCTCTGTGGTATGTTCTCTTAAATTAGTTTCACATTATGGAAGATTACCAGTTCATTATTCAGACCTTCTTCATTGTATTTCTCACAGACATACAGTGTAGAAGGTAACTTCAAAAGAGCATACATTTCTCTGGAGAAATCAGTGGGGGTACAAAAGATCATACAGTCTACCCTCACCACATTCCAGCACACTGTTCCCGTGTCACCCTGGCAGTTGACTATTATTCCTGAGATGGTTGTCTGTGGTTTCCTTTCCATTTTGATTCCTTTCATTTGAAAGTATTATAAGTGCTGCAAAAAGAATTCTGCACTCCTTAAATAAACTGATATTCACTGGGGTATATGAAACTGTACTGCAATAAAGGCACAGACAAACTGCTTTGAAAGCTGGACTGCCAGCCTGGAAAGGTAATTTCTATTCTTTATGCTAAGTCCCATCCTGCACAGATACCAAGATACCCCACTAATAATAACTCTTTGGTTCAAAGCCAAAGCAAAGTCCCTTCACTCCCATAAATAAAATTTCTAAATCTCCAACCATGAAGGTTTATGACTATCAGGACTTGACCAGTTTTGTACTAAAAACCTATCCGTAGCCAGACATGGTGGTGCACACCTTTAGTACCAGCTACTCAGGGGCTGAGGCAGGAGGATCACTTGAGCCCAGGGGTTCAGAACAGTAGTAAGCTATGATTACACCTACGAATAGCCACTGCACTGCATCCTGGGCAACAAAGTGAGTCCCCTTCCCCACTCCCATGACCCCCGCCCCAACCCCCAGAAAGCCATTCTTGATTAGAACATCCATTTTGTGTAAACTCTTGTCATCATTACTTTTTATTACAGCATTCCAGTGGAGTGGTAAAGGTGACTAGAAATAGGCACAAGCAAACATTCTATTGTTATCATTTTATAGTGGAAGAAAACCTAGCACAAGGGTAGAATTAAAGCAACTCCCATACACACTTCATAGCTCCACCCGCTTGCTTTTTTGCCCTGCCCTCGCAGAGCTCAAAATCTCTGCCAATTTCCTGAATGTTGCCGGTCTTTTCCATATCCGGTCAGTGTGAATATTTGTTGCACAATCTGAAACTTTAAATATTTTCCACTGAAAACATTTGGTAAACTATATATAGAAGAGGAACGTTATTAAGAGAAATTATGTGGCAACAGACTCTGGGACCTATTTGAGTGTAGAGGTAGGAGGTGGGTGAGGATTGAAAAACTACCTATCAATCATTATGCTGATTACCCTGGTGACAAAAATTGTCTCCACACCAAATCCCCTCCACATAGAGTTTACCCATGTAACAAATCTGCATATGCATCCCTTGAACCTAAAATAAAAGTTGAAAGGGGGAAAAAAAATAAAATTCTTTGGAAAAAGAGGTGAATTGTAGTGAACATTAGTTTTATTATAAGATTAACTACAAATTCATGCAGTAAAAAGTCTTTAGTCATTTATTTAATTTTAGAACTCAGAAACATCTCATCATGAAAACATTTGCGTCATTGTTATCAGATCACGGTAATTAAAGCAAATGATTCAGATTAATGGTCTCAGGACACTAGCTCTCTAATAAACAATGGGTAAAACCATTTGAAAAAATTGTAAGCACCACACCCAATTACACCCTTTTCAACCAAGGGCAAATTATCTAGATGATATAAGTTTGAGAATTCACTAACTCAGTCTCCTACACAATGCAAGAATTCTCTTGCCAGCATTCATCATAGGTGGTTACTCGTCTTCATTTTTATTTTTGTGACAGGAAATATGTTAGTATATGATTTAAGTGGTATTTCAGGTCACTAGAAAAAAAGATGGACTCTTAAATTATTTTGAGATTTAAAAAGGAAAAAGATAAAATTGGATCAATTTCTTATACACAAGGACAAATTCCAAATTAGTCGAGTATATAAATATTTTTTTAAAGAAACTGTACAGATAAATATGGATGAATCTCTCTATAAGAGAGGAAAAAGTTTTGCTAGGTAAATTGCTTTAATTGCTTCAAAAATTCGGAAGCAATTAGAGAAAAGATTGTTTTAATTTGACAACATAGAAGCAAACTTTTACATGAGAAAAAGCACTGTGAGGAAAACAAAACTACAAAAGACAAACAGAAAAAATGTTTGCAATTTATATCTCAGTGGGTTAATAGCCCTAATAAATAGTTTGAAAAAAAAAAAAAACCAGTGTGTTATAGGCTATAGAACCCAATAGAAAAAATAGGCAAGAGATATGAGCAAACAATTCACACAAAAAGGAATGCAAATGGCACTCACAAAAATATATTCAAACTAATTCATAATTGATAATAATAGAAGTCCAAATCAAAACTGCACTGAGCTTCCAATAACAATCCCTCCATTATATTGGCAAAAACTCAACATACTCTGTAGGCACTGCTGTGTGATAATAAGCATTTATATACATTGCTGGTGGATAAGCAAAATGCCATAATTTCAAGGAGGGAAACTTAGCAATACCTACCAAAATTATATATGTATTTAACCTTTGACCCAGAAGTTCCACTTCTACATTTTTCATTGCATTATTCTTTGTAGAAACAACCCAAATGTTCATAATACAAGGTTGAGTGAACAAACTATATAGTACATCTACACAACTGAATAATACATATTACTGTTTTCAAAAATGAGAAAGATTGCTTGATGATAGTATAGGTGATACTATGGAGTATCAGGATATATTCAGTGAAAACAGCAAGATGGGAAAAAGTGTGCTTAATGTGCTACTTTTTTTTTTTTTAATAAAGATGGGGGATCTCTCTATATTATCCAGACTGTTCTGAAACTCCTGGAGTGCAGTGGTACAATTGTGGCTCCACTGCAACCTCCCAGGCTCAAGCAATCCTCCCACCTCAGCCTCCCAAGTAGTTGCAACTATAGGCATACACAACCACACTGGGCTAATTTTTGTTTTGTTTTGTTTTGTTTGTAGAGATAGGGTTTCACCATGTTGCCCAGGCTGGTCTCGAACTCCTGAACTCAAGCAATCAGCCAGCCTTGGCCTCCTAAAGTACTGGGATTACAGGAGTGAGCCACCACACCCGGCTTCGATTATATTTTTAAATGGAAAAGTAAATATTTAAAAACTTAACATTTACCTTTAGGAGAAAGTGAACACAGTAGAGGGAACGTGATATAAAATATCTTGAATTTGGAGTCATAAAAGTTTAGCATAGTTATAATTTTAAATTTAAAAATTGTTAAGCAATTTCTAAACCGTAAAAGCAAAGTGAAACATAAGCCTAACTAGTATTGACTGAGTGACATACACACACTGAAAGGAATTATTTTAAGTGATATTAAAATGCAGTAATTTGACTGTGCATGCCTAGTGCATATATCCTAAAAACAAAATGAAATTATATATTGTAGAACAAAGCAAGTAAGCAACCAAGCTAGTGTTATTAGGAATAAGATTTTTGGTATAGGAAAAATGACATTCAAGTAAGAAAATGAAAGAGGTTAATAAAATCCTGTAATCCTAAATTTGAGTTGAAAAATATCAGTGTGACCTCATGTTTTCTCTCTTTGAAAAATGAAAGAAGTATTTTCTGGCTTTGTACTTAAAGGCCTCAAAACAATGCCCAACCCAGTACCAGTGAGTACCTGGCTTCTAGGTTGTCGTCACTAAATACCATTCCCAGGAATGAAGGCTTCTTGGAGAACAAGCTAATTTCATGAACTTGGCAGGAAATATACAAGATTAGGCTGAACACCTTGCCATACCAGAAAAGAAGGATGCTATCAAAGATTACGAGAGGTGTTTCCAAGGGACTCAGGAACATTTGAGCACCTGAATAAGCTACCACTGCACAAATGTTTAACAATTAGAGCTTCAATAATAAGAATAATACATGCATTGGATTGAAATGCATCCATTTTCTTAAACATTTGTGAATTTGTGGTTGTTAAAAACATTCATTGGTCATCTTGAAAGGATTCTAGAAATTCAACTGATTATTCTGAAAACTGGTAAATAAAAGGAAAGAACTAAACCTTTAACCTTTCTTTCCTGTAAGAACTGTTCTTCAGAGTAACCAAACAGTTGATGAGGAAAAGTTCTCCTTAATGAGTACTCCAGAAAATAAATAAGTATTGATCGAATTAGAGCATTACCATTTCACAACCTCTAAAAAAAATGATCTAAGCAAGGATCATCAGGGGGCCCATAAAAATTATAAAGGAGTAACCATAAATTTTATGACGGAATTACACAGCACTACCAATTAAGTATACTTACTGAAAAAATCAAACCATCAAACCCAAATCAGATCAACCCTATACATCTACCTACCAGTCTACAGGAAATTGAAAGGCAGAAGAATTTGTTAAAAGCCACCATGGGGACAGTCAGAAACATCCAAACTATGAAAAACTTCAAAGGGAAAATGACCTAATTTCATCAACAAATAAATTGCAAGGAAAGATTATCAGACTGAGGGATCTTTAAAAGAAACTTAAAAGACATAACAAAGGACTGGGCATCCCCATTTTGGGGATCCTGATTTGAACCAACAAATAAATAAGACAATGGAAGAAATTTGGATAGTTGACTGAATAATTGATAATATTGAGGAATTATTAATATTTTAATATTAATATTAGTATTTTGAAGTATGATAATGTGGTTATATTTTAAAAGTATATATTGAGATACATTCTGAAATAAGTAATTGTAGATAAAATAACAGGATGCAAGGGGTTGGTTTAGAAATAATCAGAAGAAAGGGTTGTAGATAAAACAAAGTAAATCACGGGTTGATAATTGAATCTAGACAATATGCACATGGGAGTTTATTTTCCTATTTACTTTCTAAGTTTGAAATTTTTCATACTATAAAGTTAAAGAAAAAATTGTTTAAAAATAAATACCTGTCTTTGTCTATGTCAACTGTCTACATATTATTTTTAAAATTTCTTTCATCCTTCACTTTTCCAAACTTTCTGACAACTTAACATTTAGTTTTATACATTTTTCTGTGTTTACTAATGCATGTTTCTAAGTGTCAACATTTACATTTAGGTACTGGCCTTTGTTCTTTCTCCCATTTTATTATAAATTCTCTTAAGGCAGAAATTATGTTTTTAGTGCTTTTCTAAATATCCCCAAAGGCTCATCCAATGTTCAATTGGTAATTGTATATTTAATAATCACTGGTAATGACTGCAGTGCTAGGCTATGTACAATGTCAACAAGATTTTGGACTGTCAGTAAAGAACCTGTAATTTGAAACAAGAAACTCCACTTACCATAATGCATTCAAATAAATCTGAAGTTATTATATTTTTATTATTTAGAAACCAACTTGATCCAGCAGAATGGTAATCACTGGTAATGTCTGCAGTGCTAGGCTATGTACAATATCAACAAGATTTTGGACTGTCAGTAAAGAACCTGTAATTTGAAACAAGAAACTTATATTTGTGTTACTATTCTCCATTTACCTTGATGCATTCAAATATATCTGAAGTTATTATATTTTTATTATTTAGAAACCAACTTTGATCCAGCAGAATGGGGGAGTAAGATAGACGACCGCTTCTATAACAATCATGCATTTGAGGTATGGTCCTTTGAAGCTATTGGATTTGGCTATTTCTTCTCTGTCAACAGCTAGCAATTATTAGGCTATCCCCAGAATTGTGAGAATTATGTGAGGAGGCATCACAAATAACTTATTAAATCTTTTTAATTGGTCTGGGATTTTTTATGAGAATTTTTTTCTAAAGTATCTGAGTCGTGTACAGATGTTTCACTTAAGTTTAACAATGATCAACAGGAAGAAGGCGCTTGAAAGTTATGAATAATTATTTCATTATTTATTCTTCAAATGTTTTCAGCATCACAGTGCTTAACAATAGCAGGTACTCAACAAATAATTACTGAATTAATAGGTGAATAGTCTATATTAATAGTCTATTTCATAGACTAAAACACTATTAGTCCAATTATTTCATTATCAGTGATATATTACAAAAGACTAATTATAATCAAAGATGGTAATGGTATAGTTTTCTCTATAAAGCTAGTTTGTTCAGAGTCTAAGCCTATATTTCTCTTTAGCAGCTTTACAAAGACAACTTTTTCAACCAAGTTTCCTCAAAAAAAATTAAACCCTAAACCAAAGGCACTAATTGCATATAAGGAATCAGTGTCCTGCTTTGTATCTAGAATGGTTCTGGTTGTGTACCATCCTTGGGAGAATTGAGAAAAGAGGCACTCAAAACATTCTCTGTATTCTATGACTTAGATAATGAATCCTGGTTGAAAAAGGCTGTGTGGTATCAGCATTATTGGAATCAACTGGAAACTTGATAGAAATTCATAGTCTCACAGGAAACATGAAAAACAAGGAAATATGACACCCCAGAATGAACATAACGATTCTTCAGCAATAGATCATAACCAAAATGAAATTCTTGAGGTCTCAGGTGAGGAATTTAAAATGCTGGTTTTTAAATATGGTCAGTGAGGTGCAAGAGAAATCTGAAAAGCAATACAAAGAACTCAGTGAAACAATTAAGGATATAAATGAAAAATTATTCAAGGAGATAGATTTTTATTTTTAAAAAACCCTAACAGAAATTCTGGAATTGAAGGAAATGCAAAATATATTCAAAAGCTTTAACAATAGACTAGACTAAGTAGAACAAAAAAATTCTGAAACAATCCAGTCAGACAAAAATAAAAAAGAATAAACAAAGCCATTAAGACATTTGGGATAACATAAAGCAACTGAATATTTGAATTATTGGTATCCCCAAGGACATAAAGATCAGAAGGTTTAGAAAACCTATTTAATGCAATAATAGATGAAAACTTTGCAAGCCTAGCAAGAGATTTTAACATCCAGATATAAAAGGCCCAGTGAATCCCCAAACGAATACAATGCAAAAAAAAAAAAAAAAAAAGTTTTCACCACAGCACTATCTAAAGTCAAAGAGTGAATTCTAAAAACAGCAAGAGAAAAACATCAACTTTGAGGGAAAACCCATCAGACTAGTAACTATTTCTCAGCAGAAACCTGACAGGCCAGGAAGAATGGGATGATGATTCAAAATGCTGGAAGAAAACAACTATCAGCCAAGAATTCTACATTCACCAAAATTAACCTTCATAAATGAAGGAAAAATAGGCTTTCCCAAACAAGCAAACTAACCTTGTCCTGCAAGAAATGTTCAAAGAAATCCTCAACTTAGAAGCCAAAAGATGGCATTTAGCATCATGAAAACACACAAAAGTATAAAACTCACACAAAGGAGGAAGAGAAATGAACCAAATGGCACCACAACAGAATTCCACCAATCCACAATGACAAACAGTAAGAGAAAAAGAAACAAATAATATATAAAATAACCAGAAAACAACTAACAATATGACAAAAGGAACAAAACTTCACATATCAATAATAACTTTAAACATATATGGATGAAATGCTCAACGTAAAAGCTATAGATGGGCTGAATGGATTTCTTAAAAAAAAAAAAAAAACATGATCCAACTATGTGCTTCTAATAAGAAACTTGCCTTACCTGTAAAAACATATAGACTTCAAGTAAAGATGTGGAAAAAGATATTCCAGGCCAACAGAAACCAAAGCAAGCAGAAGTAGCTATAGTGATATTCAGTAAAACAGTTTAAGTCAAAAACAGTATAAAACAACAACAAACAAGTTCACTTTATAATGAAAAAGGGATCAGTTCAGCAAGAGGATGTAACAATTGTAAATATATACACACTCAGCACTGGAGCAACCAGTTCATTTTAAAAAATTACTATGTGTAAAGACAGAGGTAGACTGCAATGCAATAATAGTGGGGGACTTCAACACCCCACTCATAACATTAGATTATCGAGACAGAAAATCAACAAAGTAACTGATATAGTTTGGCTGTGTCCCTACCTAAATCTCATCTTGAATTGTAGTTCTCAGAATCCCCACATGTTGTGGGAGGGATGCAGTTGGAGGTAATTGAACTGTGGGGGTGATGGTTTTATAAGGGACTTTTCCTCCTTTGCTCAACTCTCATTCTCTCTCCTGCCACTCTGTAAAGAGATGCCCTCCACTGTGATTGTAAGTTTTCTGAGGCTTCCTCAGCCATGCAGATGTGTGAATCAATTAAACCTCTTTTCTTTATAAATTACCCAGTCTCAGGATTTCTTTATAACAGTGTAAGAACAGACTAATACAGTAATTTTTTTTGAGGCAGAATCTCATTCTCTCACCCAGGCTGGAGTGCAGTGGCATAATCTCAGCTCACTGTACCCTCCACCTCCCAGGTTCAAGCGATTCTCCTGCCTCAGCCTCCCAAGTAGCTGGAATTATAGGTACCTACCACCACACCCAGCTAATTTTCGTATTTTGTATTTTCACCATGTTGGCCAGGCTGGTCTCAAACTCCTGGCCTCAAGTGATCCATCCACCTCTGCTTCCCAAATTTCTGGGATTATAGGTATGAGCCACTGTGGCCTAGCTAATACAGAAAATTGGTACTGCAGAGAGTGAGGCACTACTGTAAAGATACCCAAAAATGTGGAAGCAACTTTGGAACTGTGTAACAGGCAGGGGTTGGAACCATTTGGAGGGCTCAGAAGACAAGAAGATGTTGGAAAGTTTGGAATTTCCTAGAGACTTGTTGAATGGGTTTGACCAAAATACTGATAGTGATATGGACAATGAAGTCCAGGCTGAGGTGGCCTGAGATGGAGATGAGGAACTTGTTGAGAACTGGAATAAAGGTCACTCTTACTATGCAAAGAGACTGGCGCATGTTGCCCCTTCCCTAAAGATCTATGGAACTTTGAACTTGAGAGAGATAATTTATGGTATCTGGTGGAAGAAATTTCTAAGCAGCAAAGCATTCAAGAGGAAGCAGAACATAAAAGTTCAGAAATTTTGCAGCCTAATGACACAATAGAAAAGAAAACCCCATTTTCTGGGGAGAAATTCAAGCTGGCTGCAGAAATTTGCATAAGTAATGAGGAGCCAAATATTAATCACCAAGACAATGGGGAAAATGTCTCCAGAGTATGTGAGAGACCTTCACAGCAACCTCCCATCACAAGCCTGGAGGCCTAGGAGAGAAAAAATGGTTTCCGGGACCAGACCCAGGGCTCTCTTGCTCTCTGGAGCCTTGGGACATGGTATCCTGTGTCCCAGCTGCTTCAGCTCCAGCTGTAGTTAAATGGGGCCAATGTACAGTTCAGGCCATTGCTTCAGAGGGTGCAAGCACCAAACCTTGGCAGTTTATACGTGGTGTTGAGCCTGTGGGTCCACAGAAGCCAAGAATTGAGGTTTGGGAACCTGCACCAAGATTTCAGAAGATGTATGGAAACACCTGTATGTCCAGGCAGAAGTTTGCTGCAAGTGCAGAGCCCCCATGGAGAACCTCTGCTAGAGCAGTGCAGAAGGGAAATGTGAGGTTGGAGCAGCCACACAGAGTCCCCACTGGGGCACTGCCTGGTGGAGCTGTGAGAAGAGGGTGACTATCCTCCAGACCTCAGAATGGTGGATCTACCAACAGCTTGCACTGTGCACATGGAAAAGCTGCAGACACTCAATGCCAGCCTATGACAGCAGCCAGGAGGGGAGCTATACCCTGCAAAGTCACAGGGGTGGAGCTGACAATGTCATGGGAGCCCACCTCTTACATCGGCACACCATGGATATGAGACATGGAGTTGAAGGAGATCATTTTGAAACTTTAAGGTCTAATGACTGCTCTATTGGATTCAGACTTGCATAGCATCTGTACCACCTTTGTTTTGGCCAATTTCGCTCATTTGGACCAGGCGTATTAATTGAATGCCTGTACCTACATTGTATCTAGGAAGTAACTAGCTTGCTTTTGATTTTACAGGCTTATAAGCAGAAGGAACTTGCCTTTCTCAGATAAGACTTTGAACCTGGACTTTTGGGTTAATGCTGGAATGAGTTAAGACTTTGGAGGACTGTTGGAAAGGCATGATTGTGTTTGAAATGTGAGAGCATGAGATTTTGGAGGAGCCAGGGCCAAATGTTATGCTTTGGCTGTGTCCTCACCCAAATCTCATCTTGAATTGTTGTTCTCCTAATTCCCACATATCATGGGAGGGACCTTGTGGAGGTAATTGAATCATGGGTGTGATGGTTTTATAAGGGGCTTTTTCCCCTTTGTCCTGCTCTCATTCTTTCTCCTGCCATCCTGTGAAGAGGTGCTTTCCACCATGATTGTAAGTTTCCTGAGGCCTCCGTAGCCATGCAGAGCTGTGAGTCATTTAAATCTCTTTTCTTTATAAATTACCCAGTCTCAGGTATTTCTTCATAGCAGTTTGAAAATGGACTAATGCCATAACATTGAACTTAAATTTGACTTTAAACAAATGGACCTAACAACATTTACAGAACATTCTATTCAGCAACTGCAGAATATATATTCTTTTCATCAGCACATGGAACATTCTCAAAAATAGACCAAATTATATTAGGGCACAAAACAAGTCTCAACAAATTTTTAAAAGTCAGTATAAAGTATCTTGTCAGACCACAGTGGAATAAAACTAAAAATCAACACTGAGAGGAAT